ATGAGTTATAAGGACAAAACCAAACGCCCGTACTATATCCTGCAGTCAGGTCCGCGCGTACTTCCTGCCTCAGCCTGAACCACGTACCGATTAATATCAATACTGACGTTTCGGAAACTTCCTCGTTTTCACCATTAGGATAGCACACTTGGTGTTTCTGAGCCGCGGGTTCAAATATCAGAGCCATCAAACTTGAAGTTGACTATGACTGACTGAATAACGCCTAGAAAGGGCCTTCCTGTCTTATCTGTATCACATTATCTGTCTGACCACTAGTCACTATGCCATCTTCTGCTAAGATTTCGGATCGAGTCTCCAGGCATAAATTGACCAGCACGTTCTAACACCTGGTCAGTGGAGGTCAGTTCCATTATAATGAATATTGTCCCTCGCAAATGACAGGACAACGCGCCCTAGTTCAGTGGCAGTGCGCTGTACTACTCAATTACCAAATAAGGTGAGTTTGAACCTCAAATCCCCCAAACCTGAGGTTTTGACATGGTTGGCTAAGGACCACGAATAAGACGCAAATGGTCATCCCTCTCTCTCTTGTCCTTATTGGTAACCTTCTTCTGCATATATATGCAGCCCCAGTGGTTAGAGGCGTGGACTTCTAACCAACAGGTCGTGAGTTCGAGCCTCGAGTGTTCCAAACTACGGGGTAGGGTATGACTGGCTGACGACGGCTAATAAGCCAGAAATTGCCATTCCAGTTTCCCTTGTCTTTGTCGGTAATAACATACTGCCTACATCATACACCGCTGTGCGGCTGCTGGTTGGACTCGAGAGAGAGAGCCCGTAAGGTACAACGGAACGAGTGAGTCCCGTAAGAACGATCGGTGAGTGCCCCCTGCCATTATATAATTATAGTCAGTTTAAGTCAGTTTATTAAGGGAATGAGGCTTTCGCCCTTGAGCTCCCTATTCATATCGATAAACGGAAATAAAGTCATCAATTACATCAGCAAATGCGAAAAGTTTAAAAGTTAGCGGTAAGTGTGAGCCAGTCGCAAACTGCCGCCGTTAAAAAAATCATTATTATACGTACAGTAGTTTCTCAAAAAATGAGCATATAGTCTGCATTTAAAGGATTTGACACCTTCTGAAAGAACGACGGCATCAGGGAGTCCATTCCATGCTCCGATGACCCTGTGAGAGAAGGCGTTCCGTCGGACGTCCGAATGAGCCCGCTTCCTTTGCAGTTTGAAGGGATGACCACACAGGCTGTCAGTCCCAGCCAATTCAAAAAATTCATCAAAGTCTAGGGCACACTCACGACCTCTGACAATCCTGTAGGTTTGAATGAGATCGCCGTGCACTTGCCTGTAATTTAGAGGAAACAGATTTAGTTCGGTCAGCCTGATTTCGTACGGCAAATGATGAAGATTCTTGACCATCTTCGTAGCCATCGCCTGTACTCTTTCCAGTCGTTGATAATCTTTCTTCAACCACTGTCGCCAGGCCTGAACTGCATACTCTAAGTGAGACCGGACGAATGTCCCATAGGTTTTTCCGAACAGCTGTTTATAAATCTGCACAAACCCTCGCCTCAGCGCAAATAACACCCTTATCGTACTTTTGGCTGCCCTTTGACACTGTGATGATGGTTTCAGCGAGGAGGTCATTATGACGCCGAGGTCTTTCTGTTCCACAACATTGAAAGGGGCGGACCACCAAGGACGTATTGAAAGGAATCGTCCTCCTTACTGGTCCGTCTGGTGCGGAGTCTCAGGACCACACATTTGACCACATTAAAATTAAGGAGCCAGCGAGCTGACCAACTGTTCAGGCGGTTGAGACTGTCTTGAAGCGCGTACCTGTCTGCGTCAGATCCGATGGGTCTCCACAGCTTAACATCGTCAGCAAGCATGATGGCGCTGCATCCCAGGTCGTCGACGCAGTCGTTAATGTAAACCAGGAATAGCAACGGCCCTAAGACGGAGCCCTGGGGTACACCACTTAGAACGGGAGTAGGAGTTGAACTTGAGGCCTCAATGCACACGGTTTGCGATCTCCCGGTAAGAAAATCTGTTATCCATGTCAGCAGCCTTCCTCTTATCCCAATTTCAGAAAGTTTGTAGATTAGGCGTTTGTGGGGAACGCTGTCGAACGCTTCCTTAAAGTCTGTGTAGATAACATCGACCCTACCATCCTCGTCCAGTGCGCGAGTCCATTGCTCCGTCAAGAGCAATAAACTGGAAAGGCACGAGCGGTTTTGTCTGAGGCCGTGCTGCAGGTCTGAGACTAAATGGCCGTGCTCCAGGAACCCCATTGTTGCTTTCTTAACTATGGCCTCCATTATTTTACAGCAGATACAGGTTAGACTAACAGGCCGGTAATTGTTAGCATTAGTGCGAGCCCCGCCCTTGTATATCGGAAAGATATTTGCTGTCTTCCATTCCGATGGCAACCTCCCTACTTCGAATGACGAGCGGAAGATGTGTGCCAGTGGTTTGGAGAGTTCATTCGCCAGTTCTTTTAAGACTTTGGCCGGTATATTGTCCGGACCCGAGGACTTTGCTTCCTTGAGATTTTTCAGCTCCCTTTCCACGACAGCTGTCGGGAAGAGTATGGAGTCAAGCACGGGACCAGCAGTCTCAACAGCATTGCTAGCACTGCGACTGCGAAACTCTGTTTCTCTAGCAAAAATCGAAACAAAATAATGCCCTAAGTGTTCGGCTTTCTCGCTGTTCTCCGTGATCTCTACACCATTATCACCCTTCAGCACCGCGACCGGGTCATTATTTTTCAGTCTACTGTTAAGATAGTGAAATAAAATCTTAGGTTTCTGTTCAGCCTGTCGGATAATTTTGGATTCATACTCCTTCCGTGCCTGACGGATACATTTTCTGACGGCATTTCGTTGACGACGAAATTCTTCGAAATGCGCTGGTGACGCAGTTTCCCTGAATATTTTCCATCTTTTGCTTTTCTTCCGCAGCTGCCTATTTAGGTCCCTAGTTAACCAAGCAGGTCGACTAGTTGTTTTTTGTACTTTAGGTGGGCAACAGCGCCTAATCAAATCGAGTGAAATCGTCTTAAAAGATCTCCAGTCGTCCTTCGGATCTCCCCTGAGCAATTGGTCCCAATTCACGGACAGCAATTTGTTCCTCATCGTATTAAAATCTGCCTTCCATATATTAGGTTAGCCCTCTGTTCTCTTCTGGCGTTTGGAGAAGAGCGAGTAATCCCATAGTAGCGTAGTATGGTCACTTTTACCGAGAGGTGCATTGGAATACACTTCGTCGATATTAGAGAAGTCTTTAGTGAAAACTAGGTCTAGACAATTCGCTCTCTGGTTCTCTCGAAATCTTGTTGGTACCTTCAGATGTTGCGCCAGAAGGAGATCGAGTGTGAGGTCCAGTAGCTTATTGCAGAAAGAGGCTGGTCCACCGTTAACTGCCACAGTTTCCCACTCTATTGCAGGTGCGTTGAAATCCCCAGCAATAAGTGCCTCTTGGTGGCTAGCTACGTCTTTGACTAAACCAAGGAGCGACTCATCAACTTCACTCAGAAGGTTTGGTAGTCTGTAAATCGCCAGAAATTCTAGATTTTGTACATTGCTCTTCCTTGTCTTTATCCAGATGGATTCATATTCAAGGCAGAGGGTGTGGGCTCTTTCAACTGCTGAAATTCCTTCCCTTACATATACGACTACCCCCCCCCGCCCTGCCTATTTTGTCGGTCTCTACGAAACAGCTGGTAACCCGGTATCGAAATCTCAGCATCCAAGATTTCGGCATTAAGCCAAGTTTACGTTATGGCGATGACGTCGGGGATTCGTTCTGGTACTATTGCTTTGAGTTCGTCGATCTTCGAAACGAGACTTTGTGCATTGGTATACAAAAATCTCAATTTGGCACGAGCAACTCCAGCATACAGCGTTTATCCGTTTCCTGGGATTGAATGCAAAAGCAGGTCGAAGCTGATCGGGATGAACTGCTTTTCATCTCTCCTAAGCTGTTAGAGTTATGGGCTTTCTCCAGAGGAATGGCCTCTGGACGCGTATAATTTTTCCGTCCACTATTCTGAGAGTTGTCTCGCCCAGACTCGACCGCCTGAGGACTTCCAATTCGAGCCCCCTCCATTTTTCTCGCCCCGCGGGTGAAAAGTCCCGTTGAAAAAAAAACTGATGGATGGGCATGTTTAAGCGCAGTTTTCCTGCTCAAAAGTAGCTGCGTATACGTATTGCACGATGACCATCCCACGAAGCATGACTGAAAGGCAATAAGTGCTTTGTGGAGGACGATCTCCACCGTGTGCTACACAGCGAGGTAAGTGCAGGCATAGTGACTTGTGCAGATATTAGCTTATGTTGAGAGTAGACTTGCGCAGCATCTACCGCACTCCCTCCTCTCCAACCGGTGTCACGGCAAAGTCGAGAAAACTGGGAGCGGGAGAGGGCGCAAGTGGTTGGCACGACCGGACCCGCACCTAGGCGGATAACCACAACCCCTGGTCAACAACAAACAATTGACCAGGATTTTAACCAACAACATATATATATATGCAAAATAACATTACCGACAGAGTCAAGGGAGACTGCAATGGCCATTTCTGGCTTATTAGTCGTCGTCAACCAGTCATACCCAACCCCGAAGTGTGGAACAGCTGGGGCTCGATCCTGCAACCTGTCGTTTAGGAGTCCAACGCCTCTAACCACTGAGCCCCGGGCATAATGGCATCGCCGGCAAAGACAGCGGAGGCTGGAATATCCTTTTTCGACTAATCAACCGTCGTTCTCCTCGTTTTGGGTGAACGATATGGATATCAGTATGCTATTATTTGTTAAGTACGTCAGAATCAATAAAAGCTAAGTGGACTTTTACAATACCGTCGCTTACTTACTCTATTTGTAGTATTTTCCGTTTGCCTTTTCGTTTTCATATATTTAAGGCGAGTCTGCATGCCCCGTTCAGCAACCTAAGCACCAAAATTTGTTAAATTCCACTGCCTTCCACTGACGCGATGTGTCCCCTCTGACGAAAATTAATCACCACCATGATAGATTCAGACCTGCTGCTGCTGCTGCCGCTGCAGTTGCCGGAACAGGCCTCTTACGACAGCCTACGCGTTTACACAGACACCCTTGCAGATGATGCATCATGGTACGCCCTGCATTACTCACCCGTCTCAGACACGCGTCCACTCATCTCGTTAACCCTCTTTTCATGCTGCTCAAATCCTATTGGCTTCCTGAGAGTATCAGCGCCCAGGAGCAAGCAGGGTTGGGTGATTCATCCGCCTAGGCGTATCCGTGGCGCGCAAACCCTTCGTGCTGCCTTGAGACCGTCCACGGCTTCGTTTTTTTCCCGGAGCAGGCAAGGGTAAGCAGAAAACAGTCGCATTCCCCATGAGGCGTATACACCAACTTCCTATAGGAGGAAACTGTCCTAAATGAAGGAGAAAAAGACTGGGGAATTCTTGCTTCAGAGGGTAGAGGAAAAAATGACTTCTTGAAAAGTTAAATGAAAAACAGTCATTCAGGTTACAGTGACGGCCACGTAATGCAAAATTTGTGTTAGTAAACGGCTCACCTAGGGTAAACTTGATTGTCGCCCAATATTACTGTAAGGCAGTCTGTCTCTGATGTTGTGGCTTGTACCTCGTTTGCTCTTCTTTCCGTCAGCAAACGGTGAGAGTTAAACCCGTGAAAAGGAAATTCCGCAATATTAGGCGGCGGTGGATAATGGAGAGAAAGGAAAAGAGAAGAAATACCATCACCATCATTGAGGGATAAATCTTTCACACTAACTTTCGAGAACCGGGCAGGGAATCGCCGAGTTTTGGATAGTTTTTTTGCGGTAGGAGTGCTCCAGTTGACATCTGAAAGCCTAAACGATTAGCTTCACCTGTGAGGAGCACGTGGCTGAACCATAACCTTCCGTGTGTCGGCATTAAAAACATCAAAAATCAAAAGAAGACGAAGGTACGATCACTGGGACGGTAGATTTACTGGCCTAAGCTTTCGAACTCGAAGTGAAGTTCATCAACAAAGACTGCAGAGTGCAGCAACTTGTGAACATTTATATCGCTGTTCCTTGCGGAGGGGAGACTACGCCCGTGGCTAGGTCTGGTTTGTGCTGCCCGACCCACAATGGTCCCCGACGTGGTGACGCCGTTTGTATTTCGCGGCGATGTGGGCTGCGCCACCTGGCTGCGTGGGCGGAGCGCGTGATAACACGCAGGCAAATCAATCTGTTTATTGATAGAGTTGGTGTCCGACACCCACGCCTCCAACAGTTCTCGCCCCGTCTTGTTGCCGGCTCGCGCCAATATCCGCGTGTTGGCGAAGTCGAATTCATTGCCTTCCTCCAGCGTGTGAGTGGCGACCTGAGATAGTGGGTCGCCTCTCCGAACGGTCCGTTTGTGCTCAAGTATTCGTGAGCTGAAACGTCGTCCTGTTTGACCTGTGTAGTGCAAAGACAGTTATGGCACGGGATTTGATAGACTACGCCCGACTGCTCACCTGCGTCCAGCCGATCCTTCATTTTCATGATCCTGCTACGCATGGTAGCCGCCGGATGATGAGCAACGCTCACGCCTAACTCCGACGCAATGTGTTCTGTAACCTCGGACACACTCTTTATGTACGGCAGGAAGTGCCAAATTGTTGCTGTTTCTCTTTCGTTTGCCCGTCGTGGGTGCGTGCGCATGAAGCGACTGATAAAACTATTTGGACAGCCGTTCTTTGTTAATGTGTCCCTGAGATGTCTTAGTTCTTGCATCCTTCCTTCGGGCTCGCTACAGTGCGCTTTTACCCGGTCGAAAAACGCCCTCACACAGCCCCGTTTGTACACCAATGGGTGGTTGCTATGGTAGTTGAGGACCTGGGTTGTATTGGTCGCCTTTCTGTACACCGTAGTGCTGTGTTTACCATCAAGTGTCCGCGTGATGAGCACGTCAAGGAAGGGTTGTTTCTCGGCCTCCCCGTCGTCTCTTGTACACTGGATGTCGGTGAAGATGCTGTTAAACAGGTCTTGAAAACCCGATAGCCTGTGCTTTTCAATAATGACGAATCTATCGTCCACGTATCGGCGCCAAAACGCAGGTTTGTAGTGGCTGAAAGCAACCTTTTCCAGCTCTTGTAATATCACTTCCGCAACTAAGCACGATGTTACGGAAATCTTTGTCAATCGTTGACAGTTCGACCGTCACAACAGATGTTGTCCATCTTGCGCTCCGCAGTATGGCGGAAAAAGGGATGGCTACTTGCGAGTGAATTGGTTTATAGTGTTAACAGGCTTGCGCGGCACGTACCACACTCTCTTCTGTGCCACCCATCGGAGTCCGGTGCTAATGCGGGGTCAAAAAGATCGGAGGTGAGAGGGGGTGCAGGGAGTGACGAAACAAAACATCCAGTTCACGCGTACCATACACGCCCAGACTCGGGCAAAATGGACTAGGTTTTCAAGGGAGCGGCTCGGATCTCGACTGAGTGAGAGTGCTGTAGAGGTCACACCAAGGATATTCTGTTCTGAGAGAAGGGCCTAGTTTTCCCACCAGATGGCAGCCTTCCAAGCCACGGCTTTTAGCGCAGTGTAATGGTCAAGGAGTGCGTCACATTGTCTGTAGCGAGGAATATGTCTCGAATTCCGTGGGAACGCAGTCGCCAGAGTCGGACTTACGCTCTTCCACTCCTCCCAGCCATCGGTCAACGGTATAATGTGGTTATGCATGCGCGCCGGATCGACACAATGCTGTTGGCTTAATTATTTAGAGTTGGTGTGATTACGTTAGTATGGTGTTGCTCTGTGTTGCGGTGTGTGTTCTGTCGGTAGCCTGGTTTCTTTGTTGCCGTGTTTACCTTTTTCGGCCCAGTGCCTATGATCCTTCTTGACTTTCTGTCTGCTTTCTCCTTCTAACTTCCACATTGGGTGTCTCAGGGTTAGCGTTTATGGCTACGGTTAAGGGTTAGGGTTCGGGGTCAGGGGCTAGGATTAGAGGTTTTGGTTAGGGTTTTGGGGCAACTGCTTCTCAACCACTCAAAGCATAACCGCGCATTCCCGAGAGCCTTTTTGCATACAATTACTTGACCTCTTCGCCTGTGCGTTCCCCGACCCCACCTGTAAAGACTCCCCATTATCACCGTTCCCGTAGTACAGGCTGCTGGGGTGTGTTTGCCTTAGGTGCGGCCACTTAACCACATCTGACCCGGTCAACTGTCCGAGCCAGTCAACCATCTGATGCGAGGAATGTGTGCAGACCACTGGCGCGGCGTGGTCCTGAACCCAGACGTGTCAACACAGGAGGCATGTGTGATACTTGTTATGAATGTGCAGCCCGCATAACGCGTGTCGTGTCCTAACCTGGCCCCGTCTTGCTCCAGAGCATCTTCCCCGTGGCCCTTCCTATATGACGATCATCGGGTTTAGCTTCAACGCAAACGTATCAGTACCAAAGTTGGCAAAAGGCTCACTCACTTAGAAGGATTCTAGTAAACAAATATTTCAGTCTCCTTATTTGCTGACCTTTTAGGGAAGCAATCAATTATCACACTTTAAACAAGCCCTCCTTTATGTTCATAAGCGTAAATCAACGAAATTTACTTCAGAGATAAAAGCTTTTATATCGAAATGCAAATCCAGACAATCGCGAGGAAACGTACTGATTTCTATTTTAGCAATGTTGTGCCATATTTACCACATGGAATAAATTTGCTTCGAACATTTTCCATCAGAATATGGTAAGGCTCAACTAAGAACAGCGGCCAAGGAATAAAAGTTTCAAAAAACGTCCAGGGAGAGGGTCAGTCGTCTAGAAAATCCGGTTTGATTTCGTTACAGGAGTCCTCCTTCCGCAACCACTAACGGACTCAGATAACTTAAGCGTTAAATAGTTAATACGCATATCCCAGACGTCCTGTTTGCTTTCTTTTACGACTGAAGCAATTATTCATGTGGAGAGTTTGGCCACTTACATTTGCTCGTTGCGTCAATGCCTCAACTTTGTCCTGCCTAACAAAACCGATGCAAGGGCGAGAAATGTTAGTAAGATAAATAACCATCATCGTGCACCTCATACTACCAATCGCATAACTGCTTCATGCTTTCTCGTCTGGTCAAGATTGATAAATGTCTTTATCTGCTCTTCAAATAAATCCAATATTTGAGATTCTTCTACTCCGAAGGCATTCAGTTGATTATCGATTTTAGTGGAAAAGCTAATTTCGTTCATTATTTTACGTATCTGGGACTTAAGTTAAATGAGATCGGTGACACTGATATGACCCGTGGTTTAATAGTCGAATGCCCTCCTCATGGTTTTTAAAAATTTTGCTGCTAAATACATGCTGTTGAGAACAACAGCAAATGAAAATAACATATAACCTTTTATAAGTTGCATCCATCGAATGATTAAAGAAGAGCGAAAAAACGCCTTCTGTAAAATCAGGACCATTCTGCTGCTGAGGTATCTCACAAGATGACTTTGGTAAACAATCTTCAAAGAACGAAGCCCATTTGCAAAATAGGTTTCATCAAGGTTGTCGGCCGTTTTGATGTCGCGTCCTTGTCAGTCTGAGTCCGTCGATATCTGAAATCAATGATTTTACAGAATTCATCATTTGCGAAAAGCAATCCTGGTAGTCCTCTCACTTAAACAACAATCACATTTCACTTATTAGAATTTTCAGAATTAGTGCGGCCATTGGAAAGTGGTCAGTCATGTTGTCGTCTCTATTCGGACGTTGATATTTTTTGACTTACAAAAAGCTGGCTGTCCGCTCAACGAAGATGGGCTTCCCCTCTTCGCTTATTTGTGCTAATTAATGACTCATTTTCTCACCGCCTCTGAAAAGCCATTGGGGAAATGAATCTTAGCTTTTATCGTCGAACTAACAAATCAGGAAAACTAGACCGTTTGTCTTGAGAGTTTTTCCCTGATAACTGTGCGAATCTAAAAAGTGAAGAAGTACCCCCTCTCTCAGAACTAAGGTGGAATCTTATCATACAAAGCGAATATTCGCAGAGGAAAATTGCAAATTTGTGGCCATTTGTTGCTTTAACTACGTGCTAAATCGCCTAAAGGATATTCTTACTTTGTGAGCTGATGTTGGAATTCAGCTGTAAGTAGGATAAATAGACTGGTATACGCCCTACGCATAGGGTAATTCAGAAGGTGAAACTCAAATAAATGTCATTTTTCGTGGTAATTTTAGCAGTCAGAAAAGGCGGTTTCTTCTTCACTCTCCTTATTCACCCGTTTTCACAACTGTTTGGTTTTTTGTCGAAACACTACGATTTGGCTTATTTGAATAGTCGTCCCCTAATTCATACAGTGTTTACGCCCATCCTTACTTTGACGTCATGCGCAAGCTTGTCCTCTGCTCCTCGACCACTTGGAAGGATTACCACGTGAATTAGTAGCTATACAGAGACGTAATTGTTTTCTCCTCCTCGGTGGGTGTTCTCTAGTTCTCCTGAAGTCAACATTTGTAGACTGCTTTGTTGCCAAAACTGCACGATCACTCAAGGCGTCTCTCTCCGACCTCGAAATAAGTCAATGTGCTTGCACCGGCCCCTAGTGTCTCTCGACTGTCCCCTTTCTTGTTTACCTATTTCTTAGAACCTATAGTTACTGACCTAACTTATGAAATGTGTCGAAATTTACGAATGATTGTGAATCCCCTTCAAACCGACACCATTTCATGAGTCCAATGTCTATGTTAATTAAGTACAAATTTAAGAGAATTAAAAACATAAAAGAACTGTTAAAGATAGTGCTGCATTGTTTAGAAATGCCGATTTATTTTGAAATGCGCAATATCACGAAAACGTCAGAAATGGCTCTTATTTAGTAAACTTCGTTTTTAGATATACAGAATGTATTTCTATATCAAAAAGGCAATAAAATGAATGTAAGACTAAAATAACGTCTAATAATACTGCTTAAGTGAATTTTACATCTACATATCGTTCAATAATTAGTGCGATTCCATATATGACGGTTTGTCGTTTTGCTTGATTTCACAGATTGGGACATGAAAGGAACAAAAGTTTTCATAAGGTGACATGCCATGAGGCCGGTCGGAGCCTAACAAATTTAAATAGAACTGACAGGCATGATCGTAAACATACCATTTTGTGTTTATAGAGAGAATACTTCTTCCGTTAAATAAATTTACACTTTTCCTTCTTTTTTGGATTACGTTGAGTTCCAAATCAGCCCCGAAATGTTGCTAAATGCGTCATAATTTTCAGTGTTTTCACCTGAGCGTCCATAAAGACAGATTCTGAAATACCTGTCTGTTGAGAACTTTAGAATAAGATTATTCGTGAAAGCATTTAGCGAATTAGTGAGTGTTTGGGCGCTCCTTTTCACGAAGATGGTCGTTTTGGTTACACGCAAAGATTCATTTAAACATGAAACTCCATTTTCGAGAAAAATGGCTGTCCACGACGAAATTCAGCAACGAATATGCCTTTGGTCAATAAGAAAACTTTCCTTTAAGAAGTGCTTTATTATTGCACTCCGTTGACGGATCTCTGTGTACTTTGCATTTTTGGACGGTGAGGCCAGGTAACAATCTGACACTTTTGGCCGTTTCTCTCACGTTCCTAATCGATACTGTTTTTTCTTCCGTAAACGTGAGAGCATGCCTTTCTCTATACATTAAGGCCATTTCTACTGTTTTTGCTCGCTTTTAGACTCCGTTCTTCGATTATGAATGCACGGCAGAGCGCCTATATAAATACTTATCTTTTGATTAAACTGTTAACGTTTTGCTCGTTCTATTTCTGAATAAGATATGCACAGACGCTAAACTGCACGACACGTAGTGTTTAATATGTTAAAAACTAGAAATGACCATTCGGTGGTAGCCATTTATGCGACATCAGGTAGAATTTTTCGAACGGCAAAACAATTTCAGTCCATTTAATCGAAGGAATCCCTAACTATGTTATTACTTCATTTTAGGGCACCAAATCGCATTGATCTTCTAATTCCTAAAATAACCTTTGTGTTAGCGGGTTGATTACTACGAATGACATCGGATATAAAATAAATTTTCAGATCTAGCTAACTCTGTTTATTAAAACTCACGCATGTAGATTACTATCCTTTCAATGAAAAAGTCGCACAGATGCGTAACCGGAGTCTAGAACATGCATTAACATAGGACATTGCACGAATATATTCCAATGTCCATTTCTGCTAAGGTGTACGGATATTGTACTTGATATATTTATGTAAACATAACTACTGTACAAGAAAATGATACTTCAGTGAAGGATGTGGATGAACGAACAAAAAGGCGAAACTTTAAAGTTGTCCAGAAATTCTCGCATCAGTTTCCGTTATCAGATTTCAAGAGATGAGTCACGCACTGTAAACGGCAGAAAAGAGAGCGCGATAGTAGGTAAACGTTCGGATAAACGTTGAGGTGGCATATAGCGTCCTCGCGCTAAATTCCTTCGTAGCTACTTGCAAAAGGAACACACGTACCAGCAACCCGATCCCCGAGGAATGCTGGGAGTATCAAGATATCCGATAGTGCAAACAAAAGTTGAACATTTGTCGCAGTTCTTCCAGTTTGTTTTCAAAAAGAAGAGGACTACATTCCGTCTTGTTACGATAGTGCGAACGCGTCAAATATAAAAAGGGCGGGGATCCACTATGTCACGATGGCCTGGTTTTCAATCTCCGAGTGGGGTCGCATACTGCATCCTTGCCCGTCTTCTATTATTTGGGATACTGGGCATGAATGGACTTTTCCTTTGTCTTAAGCCATGACGGTTGTTCCAGACTCTTCGTTCAGATGACTTTGTCTGAACATTTTCTCCTGATCATTTAAATACAGTTCGCCAGAAACGCGTTCTTGATCAAATTTGCCTTAAAACAAAACAATTGGGGGATCAGTACTTACGTCAGATTAGAGGGAAGCTTTCGAAACTACATTACAATCGGATTATATACAGGTCCATTGCCCATAGACAAACAGCGCGTCTTAAGGCTTATTGACTGCCCTATGGAGCACGCTTAACCCTGAATAGCTCGAAGGAAAAGGTTAGTATGGACGTCTGATCAAGGCTATTTCTTTAAATGAGAAGAACAGACAGAAGAAATGTGCGGCTTAAACAATATAGGTTAGCCAAGATTAAAATATCAAACTGGCAACCTGGACCTAACTGAATCAGCAGAAATATATCTACGTCTTTATTTTCCGCCTTTTATTAATTTTCCCCGCATCATTCATAATCGAACTTGCTGACTGATACTTAAACCTGACCACTTCACAAGTGATCGTCGCTATTCTATAGCAGGGGGACTTGATAGATATTGTTCGCATAAATGTGTTATTGGGTTTTGCGTCAGTTTATTTAAGCATCTAGACAATTTTCCCACAATTAACTAAACCAGCAATTTAAACATAATTCTTCGCATTTGTTATGACTCAAAAAGGCAACTTATGTCACATCCCCCGCCCCTCCCAGTAAGCATTACTTTAAATCTCTGTCCGTCAAACAACACTTGAAATATGCGAATTTCTCCACGCTAGTCGCATTTGATCTAATCAGCGCATCAAAATTCCTCTTGATTGATTGGACAGAGTCGGCGAATTGTTTGCTGTCATAACCGTTTTGCGTTTTTCAGCTAGTCACGCAGACAAATTTATTACTTCGCCTCGGACAGTCGGCGTAACGTACTTATGGTCCTTCGGCTCTTAGCGTAAGGGAATACCAGCTGTCTGTCTCTGCTTTTGGCGGTGTTCTAACGAGTCTAATATACTTTCCGGAGGGGACATTTCAACTTAACTTATCCACCACGAATTTAATATAACGTAGCAGGTATCTTTTGAAAGGCGGATTTTTGGTAATATTGGGTATTTTACAAGCTGACACAAATTCTGTCTACTTGCGATAATATAAGTAGCACTTATGGGGAAATTTACAAGAATGGATGCATCAAACTCGCCAAGAGAAATCGCTTAACTATTCTGCCAACAGTGACCTTCTGTTTTAAGGGTCAATCCGGAAAATGCGAAACCACTTCCCGTCAAACCTGTTTATTGCGATTTTAAAAATAATTTTACTTGCCTGTTTTGCATCCGCCCCTACCGGGTGACATCCGGCAAAAAAGGGTCTTCACTCCATCTAGATACGGTCATTAAACCCAGTTAGCTTAACCCTGTACTTTTTTCCTGTCAAAGGCAGTAGTTCTACGTAAATGAAGTTTGTATGGACAGGAGGTACTTTTTAGTGAATGCTGATGTTTACGGATAGAGATGGGGTAAATTGCCTGACTACGTTTTTTAAGGGCAATAAATTGGCCAGACAGAGACAGCTCCCGAATTTTTCCGGATTACCTCCCAAAATAAGAGAACCGCGTTGACAGGGTAGGTTTAACCAGGGACAACCATCTGGGAGGAATTTTTGATCTGCCAATTGCACACAATAACCGTTGTAATTCTCTACGCATTCACTACTCTTATCTGATGCTGCCTCTGACTGTTTCTTCGAGTGTGCATAAAATGCACCAGGCGACCAAAAATCCTGTTCCAGCGACCACGGTTCTTTCTTCTTTCTGGAATCTTCATTGTTGCTTTTATCTACAGGTCCTAAATGAAGAAAAGTGTTTCCGTCAAATAGCTGTAGTGAGGGCTCCGCGTCTTGCGCAAGCATATCGGATTCGAAATGGTACTCCGCAGGGGGGGAGGAAAGATTTCATTTTGCAAACAACAGAGCGTGAACCGTAGGTTAATGTTCAAAATGGCGATTTTCCTTCGCTCTCAAACTGGTAAGCGGTGTTCAGCCTTGGCTTGGGTTTCCCCGCTGAGGATGAATGCCCGCGCATTTGTCTGCCAAAGCTTTTCAGCGATCGAATTGAATAATGGTGGGGTAATGCATGGTCTGGCTGGAATGATGACGATGCCCGTGCTTTGAACCTTCATACAGTGTTATGACAGAGTTAGATCCATGATTGCACAGATTTTCGTCGATCCTTCATTTGTAAACTATCTCTTAGTAACCCTCCTAATAGAACCCATCCCCAAGGGTTTACGCCTGATAGGATGTTTGCATGTAACTTCATAATTCTTCCCCAACCGTCGATGTTGTTCAGGTCACTGGAATGATTCTGAAGTCACCAAAGCAGTTATCTGAACGGGCATCAGCGGTAAAGCATGTGGCCTAATAAAAAAAGAGCCCCCGGTCTTCCCGATATGGAGCTCTAGACAATAAAAACGAAGAGACGAGTCCCAGGAAGCAGTCTTGAAGAAGGAGACACGATCGCTGGGACAAGAGCTTTATTAGCCTTACGTTTCGGATTCCTACTCGAACCCATTATCTGAGACAACAGCACATACGGGTGGTTCATGCACAAGGGGCTGCAGTATTTGTAGGATGCTGTCGCGCATACCTATAAATGCTCACGGCTCCCTCCTTCATCAGGGATCGTTGTACGTGGTGTGATGACTGTTTGATGGCCGACATTTGCGTCGTTAATCGCTGCAATTTCATCACGTGTGTTGGATGATGGTGTGATGATCGCTCGACCATCTGACGCATCGATCGTGGTGTTGGGAAAAGTGTCCACCTGTGCGCTCCCCGCGTGACTAATTACTCCGCCTAGGCGAAGTCTCAGCACCGAGTATGGAAGATGAGGATCATTGCACTTGTTAATGGACTGGGGGGGGGGCAATAAATCATGACTTAAGCAGCTCCCGGCTCACGCGGTTGTCACCTCTTGCGAGAATTTCGGCCTCGTCGAGTGAGCCGCAACTTGAGAACTGGCGTCATTTCTCCGCACCGCTGCAGCGTGCTCGGCCATTCGTTTTCGGAACTGTCTTTCGGTTTCTCCGACGAATTTGCTTTGTCCACAACTGCACCAGATACGATAAACGACTCCATACGTTTCTTGCCGTGGCAGCGGGTCTTTTGGTTTCAATGCCTGATGGTTGCCTCCGGTCTGCGTGCATGTGTGCCCCTTTTGCATGAACCACCCGTATCTGCTTTTGTCTCTGATGATGGGTTCGAGCAGGAATACGAAACGTCAGGCTAATAAAGCTCTTGTCCCAGCGATCGTGTCTCCTTTTTACCTCTAGCCAAGTTCGCCAACAAAGGATGTGCAGTCGATCGATTGGACACCAAATGGCCGGACCACTACGGTCCCACGTAACCGCACTCCTTTTTTGGTTTCCCAGTCATATAACATGTTGAGAGCTGTCTGTCGGTCGTCCCACGCCAACTGGACAATTAATATCATAACTTATTACAGACGTGCCCTGGGCCGGTAACCAAACATTGCACTGCTTGAACAGGCGACAGACAGTGACGTCAGGCTGTTGTTCGTGCTGATCCAAGTCAAGTGACCTCAGATACGCCTCTCAGGTGACACGGATCAGGGAAGATTGCGGCGGGCATGAGACTTTGCCCATAAGTCTGTGGGCTTATCGGTCGAAGAGGATAACGCATCATTGACATCCGAACTCTCGTGGCGTCCTAGCTTTCACGCCGCGGTATATTCCGATCTGGTGTGATAGCGCCCCGAAGGCAGCTACTTTTGTGTGCCAGGATAAGGCTGTGCTTATGATGTGGGTAGATTTTCAGGGCTTTTTGCTTTCGTGAGGGTCCTGTTCGCCTGCTCTGATGCCGAAACGGAACAGGGGGGATTCCTCCGTCTTTTTATCTATTATTTTAAATACAACTTGGGGAAACGTTTGCCGCAGTTTGTCTATGATGTTTCCGTTTGTACTCTAGTGTAGGATGGTCGAGGTGCCATATAGGGCTGACATTTAGAATTCTGGCCTGAAAGAACAGTAGACAGAGGCTCAGAATTTCCGAAGTACCGCCTCGTCAGCAAAACTGGAGAATAAGCATCCCAATGGAATTCGTCAGACTTTCTAATTGACTCTGAAGGCAGACATAATAAAAAGGGTAATCTAATAGCTCCCCCGAGTGTCTCTTCCTGTTTTTTGTTTTGCCCAACTTTTCCAAAACAACGATTGCCATTTACTTTTCCGCAGGAAAAGTTCTTGCCTGACCTTTACTTCGCCTAAGGGATTGGTTCGACACAACTTGTGCGGAAGTCGGAGAGATGCGACTTGCTGGAGGTCTGAGGATGACCAGCACCTCCAGTTCAGAGACGAAACTCGTACCTTTTGTGACCGTAGGATTCATGCTGAAGCCCTCTCATCCTACTGACCGTCAGCCAGTCAGGCGACAGGTTCTGCATGACTGAATAGTGTTTAGTTGATCTAATAACGGGCCTTCACAGGATCCTGCATTTCGATCGATGAGTCATCAAGTCCACGTAACGTTGAACGCTTCCGGCAATTCGGCGGATTTAAGGTTAATCACCCCAACTCTACTGTCTCTTTTTGAATCTCTCGATCATCAGTAGTATGTTTGTCTCCTACTCTCAGCTCTAAACCACAAAACCTTGCCGTGATGACTTTACCCCATCCATACTCACCAATTCTCGATGCATTATGGGTGTCACAGCATATTCTCTTCAAGACTGCTATGTGATGATACCGGCCAGGACAATTACCTCGTAACCGCTGTTTAAAAATCGTAGATAGCTTTGGTGGAGCATCCTACTTAGTCAAGTCTTCCCTGGGCAGCACCCTGCGGGCTAAAACAACAACAGCTAAGCGCGTAGGCTACTTTCGATTTATCGGTGCATCTTTATATCACTGAATCAGAAAAGCCTTCTACTTATCAAGCAAAAATGTATAACATTTACAAGTGCCCTATGGACGCTCCAAGGCACCGTAATTCAAGCAAAGTAGTATGCGCAGTCGTTATTATCCTACTATCAAGGGGAAAATTGAAGCTTTAATCTAGTGCAGCATTTAGCTCGCTGAGATTTAAAAGTATTTGTTTGGCTGGCCTCTACAGGACACTGGGAGTGGCTTGGACACCTTAAAAATATCTTACATATGACTAGGGTATCTAAACTGATGGTGGTTTTCCTGTAAATCCAATCTATATGCACCTAGGTGTGCTAACTCAGGAAATGTTAACAGAAATTTTGAAATGCGTTTTCGTCTCGAAAAGATTGCCTAAGTAAGGTTTTAAAATTAATCATCTTGCAGCATAATTCTATAATAATTCACTTACTTCGAGTTGCCGGCTTTCGAACGAACTTCTTTCCGGTCATATGCAAAAACCCAATTGTGTAAAGAATGACTACTTAATTAGCATGGTTCTTCCGCCTTGATTTTCGACACCCTTAAGAATCAAATTATATTTCACGGCAAACGCGTGTAAAAATATTCATTCTTTTATTCATGCAGTAGAAAATTACGTCTTTCTCCAATTTTATACTCGAAGAAAGGTTATAATTCGGTTTTCAAAAACTTTTCTGGTATTCAGTGTTTTCAAACTACAAGCCGTATATTTTCTGCGTACGGAATGCCATGCATTTCTCTACGGTATAAAGAGGAGACAATATGGGGTTCAGTAAATCTAGCAGTGGATTTGAGCCATATTGTTGACTTTACAAGCAACATTGGTAAATGCAGAGACACGATGTTTTATGAACGGGCATTTCATGGAACTAAAAAATCTCATAATTATAAACCTTTTTAAAACTGAACTATACCCTTCCTTCGAGTATACAATTGGAAGAGGACGTAATTTTGCTACTGAATGAATAAAAGAATGAATATTTTTATGCATGTTTTCTATTAAATATGATTGAATTCTTAAGGGTGTCGAAAATCTATGAGAAAAATTTATGCTTCTTAGATAACCATTTTACAGTGTGATTTTCGCATGTGATCAGAAGGAAGTTCGTTCGAAAGCCGGCATCTTGAGGTAACTGAATTATTGCAGAATTATGCTGCAAGATGATTAATTTTAAAACTCTACCTAATTAATCTTTTCGAGACGAAAACGCGTTTCAGAATTTCGATTAATATCTCATGAGTTAGCATACCTACTGTGCATAGAGCTGCCTTATTGCAGTGGGCTTTCAGAAGGCTGAACTTTTTCATTTGGTTATGACAGCTTCGCTCAGATTCGTCTGACTTAGGCCTACAGAGACTACTACAGTTTCAAACATTTTTGGTCTTATACATTCCGGGTTAACCTTCATTGGCCTACTTGCGCACAGTGCTCGCCTCCTGAACCATTGTCTGTTTTTCAACTGTAAAAACTGTGCGTCTGTGAAGAACGGCAGCCGCTGCAGCAGAATGGAGCGCATCTCCACCTCTAGAAAATATGCAGTATTTTTTATTTTGCGCTCAACGTAACTGCGTCCTGTCTGCTATCAGCAGTTTTCATCTCAGTGAGTTTGTATTTTATTTCTCGCAGAGCCAGCCTTCTTCTTCCGAAACGACATTTCATAAAGTTCCTTTTGCCTATATATAAGACCTTAAATCTGATAAATAGAGGCAGCTTGCGACTTACGCGATTGTTCCCATCCCACCAGAATTTTGGACCAAGTAAATTTGGAGGTGTGTGCCATCGAGAAGGAGCTAATGTAGACTAGCTGTCAGACCACCAGTCGGCCATTTGACACACAAGTACACCACTAGGCTGACTGAGTGGTCTAACGTGAACGGATATTCCAGAATGTTAGATCGAGCGAACTTACCCTAACAGCCTGTGGACGGAGGGAGAAAAGAGTGGCTATTGTTCGTTCTAGTGTTTTGACAGAGAATTTTACATCTACGAGCCACGGTTCATTGGCCTGACCTTTCGCATTCACACTCGAACCCATCATCACAGACAGAGGCACATAGTTGTGTGGAGACACAACGAGAACAATATTCACAGACGGTAGTTGCCACACAACCACATATCTCACATAATTGGCAGCTCCCGCATGGTCGTAATGGATGCGATGATGGCTTCTTAGTCCGCATTTGAGTCGTTAATTGCCGTAATCTCATCCTCACGGTAGATTCTTGACGTGATAATGACTCGGGCATTTGGTTCATTGTCACTAGAAATGTCGGCTGTCCACACCCTCACTGCATGGCTAATTACTCTTCACAGGCAAAGTCCCAGTACAAAAAATGGGGTTGGCAGGTCATTGCGTTCGTTTATTAGCCTGACGGTTCGGATTCTCAATCGAATCCATCATCAGATACAGAGCCAGCAGTGAGGAGGAACGGCGCCAACTCCCAAGTCGCAGCGCTCATTAGACGGGACCCAGCCATGCATTCAAGTTGGACGAAGCAGAAATTCTTGCTAGAAATGACAACTGCGTGAGACGCAAACTGGTCGAGTCATGGTTTCCCTGTCCTCTATCTATCATCATGCACAACGGCCTCCTCGCCGGAATATTCGGCGTCAGTAAAAAGGCCTCGCGGTGGCTGTTGCATGCGGGTGGTCGAGATGCTTCAAGGTAATCATCGGAGCAAAAAGGAGACAATTCAGTACCTTCTTTTCCAATGCCTGCAGAGGTATTACAGTTCCTTATTATTATAATTTAATGGTGAAAATAGTGTGCTCTTTCACTCGGTAACAGTATGAAGGATCAAAATTTGTGATACAACAAATTTCTTGGACGTTCAGCTCTTTTTCCCAACACAACTGCTCTCCGGAGTAAGTAACCCCGCCCATGAACCGCCGTGAATCTCTTTTTTCGTGTTTTCCACTTGTTTACGATAATGGGTTAGAAGAAGACTCCAAAATGTCAGACCAATAAATTTCTTGTCCCAGCAACCGCATATTCTCCTTCTGGACTGCTTCCTAGAAATCCCTTACGTGCTTCTACCGGCAACTCTTCGACTGTTCCTTAAGATATGCCACCTTCCCTGTTCAGAATGTGCCGTACCCTCACCTGACAGCCTCACCTAACTCCACAGTCAGTCATCCCTAAGATAAAAAGTGACCTAATGAAGAAGATATTCCGATGGACTTACTGTAAATCCAGTAGCAACTCAACCAGGAATAAGACCAGCTTTCTTGAGGGTAACGTCTCTCCTTCAAAAGTAAGGTTCTTCTTGTCTTCGCGAAAGCGTTAAACAAGCGTTCTCATGATCGCCACTGAAACCGAACTCACCGTTCTGAGGCTGAACTCTACTCCTACGATGTAGACAGTCATATTACCTACCCGAAATAAACTGCGCATTAACCGATCCTGTATTTCTGACGCAGAGCATCGCAAATTAATATAAAAGGGCATATTTAAACGAATTTCCTTACTAAAACCGAAACAGGTTAATTGACCCATTGTAAAAAACTCCATCGGATTCGAACGTACGATAAGAAGGCGCACGTCTTTAGTCAAACCGGGGCTGCGACCCCCTGAGCTACGAGGGACCAGTAGAGGGGATTGATTTGATGTCACTTGGGCTCAGATATCCGCCTGCCCAACCGTGAAGTTCACTGAATTTGGTGAAGTAAGCTGACCCCACACGTGGAAGAACCAATCAATTTAAAAAAGATGACTACGGGGTTCAGTTTGAAAAGATGCTTGATAATGTGATTCCCAGGCAAACAACGTGATCTTCTCTTCAGTTCCAAATTACATCTTCGTCAAAATAGATTGCTTAGAAATTTTCCGATACATATTGCCAGTTTGGTTGACCATGTAATGATGAGAGCTTTTGAAAACACATCTAGAACATTCGCGTATGTTTAGAGGGTACGCGTAGGCTAAATCAAATGACTGTATGATACTTTTATGCTCTTTTGGTCCAAAAATGCACAGATTTAGGAATCTCAAAAAAGAAGACCAAGAAGCGGTTACTCCCAGGACTGTGGCATATACTAAGAAACTATCCATCCGCTAAATGAGCTTAACGTTGTTGCTGTGTTTAGGGCTAAAAATCGCCCTGATCCACAAGTCAGACTCTAGAAGAAGAAAAAGAAGAAGAAGAAAAAGAATAAGGATTGATTCCTGTTATTTTGCAAATAGCCTGGTAATCTACCTCTTGAACTCCGACTTTCAAACCACTAAAATTTATCTTAGTGAATCTGTCTCACTCGGACTAGCGTCTCCCACCAGTGAGGCATATATAAATGCCAATATGTGGTCTGCGGCAAATATTTGCACAGGAAATTACCGGGATACAAGGAGGTTTGGGTTGAGTAAAGAGAGTTTACCATTTCGTTGAGATAACGATCAGCTGTGGTTATCTAGCCCCGCCTGAAGGAAAAAAATCCCAGCCACCTTTAATATGAGACGGGTAGTAACAGGGGGTTTTTACAGGTGCGGCCGGGGAACGCAAACAAAGGCGAGGAGGTCAAGTAATTGTAGGTAAAAGAAAAGTTATTGGGCATGCGCGGTGGTTGAGAAATAGTCGCCCCTAACCACAACGCCTAACGCCAACTCATAAATATAACCCCTAACCCTGACCCCCAACAATAACCCTTAACCTTAACCCCTAACCACAACCCCGAACCCTAAACCCTAACCCCAACTGTACTGTGTCCATCAGGTGGGGCTACATAACCACATCTACAACCTCCAGGCAATCAGCGAGCACAATGACCGGCCAACCCCATTTTTTGTACTGGAACTTTGCTCGGGAAGAGTAATTAGCCATGTAGTGAGGGTGTTGGCGGCCGACAGTTCTAGTGACAATGAACAAAATGACCGAGTCATTATCACGCCAAGAATCCAATACGGGGATGATATTATGGCTACTAACGACTGGGGTGTCGACTAACAAGCCATCATCGCATCAATTACGACCAGGAGGGAGCTGCCAATTATGTGAGATATGCGGTTGTGTGGCAACTACCGTCTGTGAATACTGTAATCTCTGTGTTCTCACACTCTTATCTGCCACTGTCTCTGATGAGGGGTTCGAGTGTAAATGCGAAATGTCAGGCCAATAAGCCACTTTTTCCACCGGCTGCATTTTCCTCTTCTGAAAGACTTCCTGGAAGTCGCCTCTCCAATTCTATTCCTAATATTTTCTTATAAAACTGGGAGTTTAAATGTGATAAATTGTAAAAAGGCCATGACAGTGGAACTGGCCAATAAGTGAAGGTATAAGGATCCGCTGGCTGCGTTAGCACTGTTTTGACTATAAGACGGCTTGAGAGGCAGGGTGGCGATTTAACATAGACTGACTAATTTGTCGTAGGCCATCATGGGGCATGTTATTGAAATTAACGGAGTGTCCAAATGGAATTGAACATCAAGTGACATATTTTTTGCTGAGTTACAGATAAATGAGTGTACGCAGAATGAGTTTACCTCTTACCGCGGTAACCAGCCCGGCCAACTGGGACCGACCGACCTGGGGAGTGCAGTAAGGACAGGCATAGTAGTCTACAAGCCGAACCGCACCACGGACGCCAAAGCCAAACGTGAAGCCAGCAAATTACAACTACCTCCGCCTCGCAATGCCAACGCTCAACCGCCCACAAGCTGCCCACGATATCAGTGGACGTTCCGGGCGCAAATCGGTCTTACCGGACACCTCCGGACCAACTGCAGCACCTGATGTTTCCCCGTCCACCGCAGTCTTGTCCCCCCACGCCGACAATTAACACTGACCGCACTCCTAAACACCCAACTCCATCCTCCTCCATCATCTCAGCATCTGCTGCGGCGGCTCCTGTACCCACTACCACTGCGCACAATCTCGACACACTGACAAACACCAACTTCACCACCGTCAACGCCAGCGATGTGGACTGGGCTCATATCTGTGCTCATTCCGATCGCACATTCCCCCCACACATTGGCCTGGTCGGTCACTTGCGAATTCATTTCACAGGGACTGGCAAACCAGTGCCTGGAGCACCAACCTGAATTTGCCGCATCCATCCTAACTGTCTTCACTGCCCCCGCACATTCCGTCACCGCATGGGCTTATTATGTCGCATGTACATTTATGAACACTTGCGGTAGACAACCGCTGACTACATCGCACACCTTCCCCCACTAGCACCTGCACCACACAATAACACCCACTGCAAGCACTCGAGTGCCACCCCCCACGCATCTGGGAAGTGTCCCTGCCTACTCATTCTCCACGCGGCTCCTCTGCTGCATGTGTGATCAGGACCTGAAACAATCGCAGTACGCCAAACGCCGTGGTTTGGAAATTTGTCGATTGGCGTCTCAGCGCATTCCACGCGGTCTGCTTAGTTGTGTGTGTTTGTGTGGAGTGGCGATCTGGTGGACTGAAAGCCAGGCTGTGACGGTTCCTTCTTAACATGACCTCTGGCGCTCTCACCCATCTGAGAGGAGGGTGTGGGCTTTATAGTTAGTACCTCTCAGTCTACGACTGACTAGTTATCCAGGCTTTGAAGGTTGATGTCCCAGGCTAGTGCGGAGTTGAGTCTCGCTCTTCTGGCTGTGCGTCTGCCATGCCATGATCATCAATTCACGTGCATTGACAGTTCTCTGGCATCTGGTTTCCTGTCGGTGGGTGCGCTTGCGCTCACGTTGGATATACAGACTGCACAGTCATCCTCGCCTTCCTTACCCCTTGTGGTGCTGTTGTCGTTGTTGGCAAAAATCCTGGTCAAGTGTTTTTGTGGACCAGAGGGTGCGGTGGCACGCCTTGGTGCAGGTCCGGCCGCTCCGGCTGCCTGCGTCCTTTCCCGCCCCCGTCTTCTTGATAGCGGACCCAGGTGGGGAGGAGGATATAGTGCGCTAGACACTGCGCAAGTCCACTCTCACTATAAACTAATTCACGGGCAAGTCACCGTGCCTGCTCCATCCTGCTGTGGAGCACACGGTGGACGTCATCGACAATGACGGACAAACTGTCGTGTGCGCGTGATTCAAGTGTGATTTGAACTGTATCCTCTGAACCTGTCACTTCAAATGCATAATACTGACTGTCAAACTGGCATTTATCGGGTAGCCAAAAAGCCGCTTAATCTGCATTTTTTCGCACATGTGGCCAGTCATTCATGGGACGTGGGTGCGCGCGCGATCACTGCACATACAGTGCGTAACCTAACTCATGAAATGTGTCGAAAATTACGAATGATCGCCAATCACTCGCAAACCGACGCCAATTCATGAGTCCAATGTCTATGTTAATTAAGTACAAGTTTAAAAGAATTAGAAACATAAAAGAAATATTTAAGGCAGTGTTACGTTGTTCAGAAATGCCGATTTCTTTAGAAAAGCGCAATATCCCGAAAACATCAGAAATGACTCTAATTTAGTAAACTTCGTTTTTAGATAAATGGAATGCATTATTCGACCAAAAACGAAGTAAATATGAAAGTAGAAATAAAATAACGTCCAATAATTGTGTTTGGGTGAAGTTTGCATCTAACTTAGTAAGATTTCATATATGACGGTTTGTCGATTGTTTAAATTCTTAGTGTAGATTCCAAAACAGTTTTCCGGGGATTCGTGGTATTCTTGATTCTTTTGAGTTAAATGAGATGAGCTTCAACAAGAGAAGCTGGATTTTCTTGATTTCACAGATGGGGACCTCGTAGGAACAAAAGTTTTCAACATGCTATGAGGCCCGCCGGGGCCAAATAAATTTAAATAGAACTGACAGGCGTGATTGTAAACATACCATTTTGTGTTTGTAGAGAGGGCTTTTCTTCCGTTAAATTAATGTACACTTTTCGTTCGTTTTAGATTACGTCGAGTTTCATATTGGCCTTGAAATATTGCTGAATACTTCATGATTTTCAGTGTTTTCACCCGATCGTCCATAAAAACGGATGCCGAATTATCTGTCTGTTGAGGACATTAAAATAAGATTAGTCTCGAAGGCATTTACCGAATTAGTGAGTGTTCGGGCGCTTCTTTTCACGAAGATGGTCGTTTGGGTCACATGTGAAGACTCATTCAAACATCAAACTTCACTTTCTAGAAAAATGGCTGTCAGCAACTGAAGTTAGCGACGAATATGCCTTTGATCAACTAAAAAACCTTCGTTAATAAGTTACCTCTTTTCGAAGTACTCTATTACTGCCCTCGGCTGACGGAGCTCGGTGTACTTCGAACTTGTGCACGATCATGCCAAGCAAAAATTTGACACTTGTGGTCGTTTCTCTTACGACTGATCAGGCTCCGAATTGTTCGGGAATCAGAAAACTTTTAAAACCTAATCAAACTCCTTCTTCGAATATACTTTGCAAAGATTGCATGCTTCTCTCTCAAACGAGTGGAAGAAACCATATTTTTGTTTATGTTTTCTATAAAATATATTTTAATTTATAGGACTATCGAAAATCAATGTAAACAATTCATTCTACCTAAGTAGTCATTTTCGCCGAATACAGTGCACTCAAAAACCGACATCCTGCCGAGTCCGAAATATTAGAGGATTATGCCGCAAGATAATCAGTATTACAACTCTACCAAAGTAAGCCTTCCTAATGGGGGGAACGCATCTCAGAATTTGGTCCAATATTTCATGAGATCGGTCACTCAGAAGTAAAATTCGCCAGGTGTTTAAATATAAAACGTTTATTAAAATATTTTCGCTAATTCTGTGGTCACATTATTAAAAAAATGTTTTGCCTATGCTTTTTGAGGATTCGAAACTTCTAGCTAAGATGTGCTTTGATTTTAATGTATTTTTTATTACACGAATGAAGGCGAAATTTCGAGTTCCAGGTGTATAAATATTTGAAGAAGAAGAAGAATCGAGCACCGGAACAATTCGTTTATTATCCTGAGCTTTCAGACTCGTACAGGAGTCCATCGTCAGAGGTAGTGGCAGAAACAGGACAAGCAGCAGTTATAAGGCACGTAGACCCAATCATCGACCGACGTCGCACGACTGGAGGTGACTACGAAGGGCTCTGTACGCCGGCGCCAGATCGATAAATCGATTGACCGAGTTCTCATCCGAGGCCCAGGCTTCAATCAATTCTCGGCCTGTTTTGTTTCCGGCGTGGGCAACTATTTTGGTGGCTGCGAAGTCAAACTCGTGACCCATTTCGTAGGTGTGGGCGGCCACTTGTGACAATGCGTCGCCTCGCCTCACAGCCAGCTTATGTTCATGTATGCGCGATCCGAGCATGCGTCCAGTCTGTCCTGTGTAATTACAAGGACAATTTTGACACGGAATGCGATACACTACTCCAGATTGCTCTTCGGGTTTTAACCGATCTTTGATCTTCATGACCCTGTTGCGCATGGTGGCTTTGGGGCGGTGTGCGATTCCAACCCCTAGCTCCGCAGCAATGCGCTCGGTCGCTTCTGAAACACCCTTGATGTATGGCAGAGAATGCCATATTGTCGGTGACGTTGATGTTTGAGTTCTCTGGTGGCGACCGCGTAGGCAGCGACTTATGAATGCCCTCGGATAGCCATTTTGCACAAACTGGTCGCGGAGATAACGGGCCTCACGCGCTCTATCTTCCAGTTTGCTGCAATGAGTTTGGATCCGTTTGAAGAGTGTCTTCACACAGCTTCGTTTGTGAGCCACCGGATGGTTGCTGTGAAAACTGAGAAGCTGTGTGGTGTTCGTTGCCTTCCTATAAACCGTCGTTTCAAGTTCACCGTTAAGGTTTCGTCTGACGAGCACATCCAGGAAGGGCAACTGCTGCTCCTGTTCTTCTTCTCTCGTGAATTTTATATCCGGGAAGACTGTGTTGAGCAGGCTGTGAAAATGTTGCAGCATGTCCTTCTTTACGATGACGAACGTGTCGTCAACGTAACGTCGCCAAAACACCGGTTCATGTTGGAGGGAGGCAATCTTTTCCAACTCCTGTAGGACCAGTTCGATCGATCTGGCGCCGGCGTACAGAGCCCTTCGTAGTCACCTCCAGTCGTGCGACGTCGGTCGATGATTGGGTCTACGTGCCTTATAACTGCCGCTTGTCCTGTTTCTGCCACTACCTCTGACGATGGACTCCTGTACGAGTCTGAAAGCTCAGGATAATAAACGAATTGTTCCGGTGCTCGATTCTTCTTCTTCTTCAAGTATTTTTTATTTTCCACACTAACAGTACCTGTGCTAACTCATGAAATGCCGAGGTCAAAATTATAGTGGAAAATGTAGCGTATTTTTGGTGTCGTTATTTGTGTTTATTTAGTTGAAATAAGGACGAAAAGACCGTTTTCTGAAGGAAAGTTTGATACGGATCTGTATATTAAATAGAAAACGGGCCGGATTAAGACGTAATCGGAGGATTCCTGATCTTCAAGCAGTTTCCTACGCTATTAAAGCTTTCGGATGGAAATTCTTTGTGTAACCTTATTAATCTGTTTAAGAAGAGTAATAAAGGGACGAAATTTTTTTAATAAACTTTCGAACAAAAAGAAAAAATTAAATTTCAATATTAACAAAATCAGGGAAATGCAGATAAATTATTTCTTATTGTGTTCAGGAAATAACGTGCTATTCTTTATCTAAAAATTCTATTTTATAAATTCGTAAAGTTTAATGTTTCAAAATACCGAAATAAAAACGTTTATCAGTGTGATTGTTTTACCAGACTGAAAATGCGTGTCGTAAACGAATATATATTGAGTTCGCGCGACATGCCGTCACTTTGCTCTGCCACGCCAAACGATAACTATGTCTAAACAATACTTATCCGAAGTTGACTTCCAGCGCATTCGAAAATTAGCGGCTGAGGGAATCCCGCGTGAGTCGTTAGCTAGTATTTTCAATATTAGCAAGGTCACTCTGTGGCGCATTATTAATGATAAAATTGTTCCTAGAAATAAGATAGGGGGACCAAAACGGTCCACAAGTAAGCAAGACGACGATTTTATTCGTCGTACATTAAAAAAGTTTCATTACATGCCCATTGAGACCATTCAGCGGGAACATCTGCCGATGTTTTCTATGAACATCATTAGAAAAAGGATGAAGGAATTTGAACTGCAGCGGCGGAAGGCCATGATTAAGCCATATTTAAGTAGAAAACTAATTAGAGAACGGCTTTTATTTGCTAAGAATTATATTGAATACAGATCTTCATTTTAGAAGAGCATTTTCTTCTGCGATGAGGTTCTATTTTTAGACAAGCCTACGAAGTCGCTCCAAACCGTCATATGTGGAAAGAACTTTCCAAGAGAACACACTACACCAACGGCAACATTCAAGAACTGTCGGCGGATGATGGCGATTAAATTCGGTGAGCGGCCTGTCTGGCGGTCAACATCCGACACCATCAACAGCAAGGTGTTCATTGCAATTTTCAAGGATGCTTTCGGCTACAACGGCATAAGTCGGCGCCGAATGGATACTGTAATTTTGCAGGACAATGCACCTGTCCACCGCTCTAAAGAGGTACGAATTTGATGCCGCTTGCAAACATAATCTAAAATTTTAGACAACAACCACGCTCTCCGCAATTGGCCTCCAATATATTTTCATCCCGGCCAACAGTCCCGATCTGAATCCAATCGAAAATCTTTTTGGAATTGTCAAAAGAAATTGGCACAAAGCTAAGAAGACTCTTTCAATGCAGGAAAAATTGGATTTCATACTCAATAATTACATTTTACAATCCACCATAGATAACCTTGTCATGTCTATGTCGGACAGACTTTCTGCTGTTATTAATTCGAATGGACAATCTACAAAGTACTAATTTTTGTATCTGTTTCTGTCCTTAATTATTTTTGACCTTTTATGCGCCCTCCTCCTTTATACGTCCTCATACGTAGCCTTTATTAACTTGGTTGTAATGTAGGCGTTTCTCGAAAATGTGACTTTTGACAAATATTATTTATTTTTATCTCAGTAAATAATATTTTCTTAACCAAACTTTGCTTTATTTCTTTGGCACATCGTTTATTTTCCGCTATCAGACTTTGGGAGCTGTAGTGTTTACCGATTTTGCGTTAAAGTCGTTAACCTGTGTTAATTCGTGACATTTCATGAGTTAGCACAGGTACTGTATTAGCCACATTCGAGACCGAGCAATAGGGGTTCCTCTTATCAACGTTCTATCAAGGAACAGAGTCTTTTAATACGTCGATCTTTATTTTTTTCCGAAACAGGAGCAACATTCAACAAGATGGTTTTAGTCATGTCTAACGTTCCAAAATGTCTTATCTTTACCCCTCATCAAAGATTTGTCCAAGACTCACCTTTGTAAAAAAACTCCAACTCTGGAGTTTTATTCTTCTGTGAAGTCCTCTGTGATTTGTCGTGCTACATTTATTTTAATTACAGTTCTATGCTGACGCCTTCCCTCGTCCTTTAACTGAACTCAAAGGCTCAAGAGATTTTATCCGTCACGCGGTCTTCGTTTATGTTATCTGAATGAGTGCTCACAAACGCCAAAAGTGTTTGTTAACGGGTTATGAGAGGTATCCCGTGATCTCTAAAGGAACTTTTCCCAAGACTGATAATCCTAGTATTTCTCCAGTGTGGATATTATGAGTACACTGGGCTTTATTCGCAAATACATTAAAATAACTTGATTTAGAATTTCTGCAGGAAACTTGCGTCACATGATGAAACCCAAAAAACCTCAAAGTCATTTAAAAAATCGTTTCTCATTTTGTCAAAGTTATGTATAATTCATAAATCGTTGTGGGGGGACTGGTGCACGTATTTTCAGATGCAATCGGAATTGTGAGTATATGTACAGTACGTGACATGTCTTATGAAATGCGCCGCAATGTACAGAAAACCACCGAAATATAAGATTATGTAGATTTCTGATCAATCTTTAAAAAAGTTGACAAATAAAATTATTTATAAACGCAGAGCGCATGCAAAAATTACATTTGCATGAATAGGCTGGGCGAATAAGCCATTTTCGTCGTCTTTTTTATGAGTTACCTTACATACTTTGGGTATGCGTAGCACAGTAGCGGTTTGGTGTTTTTATAGTATAAACAGTAGGCAACCTTAATCACCAGCGTATGCGTAACTTCACAAAGATTTCCTTGTACGTCCGAAACCAGCTACATACGCCTGTCAAAATGCCCAATTAACAATAAATGATCTTCGGCCTTGAGGACATTAAAGGCGTGTTAAAAGGAATATTTAATTGGTCAGAAATTATTTTGAGGAAAACGGAAATACCAGAGAAGGGCGAATTCATTTCAAATGAACAAAATTAATCTGTAGAAGTTCACAATGCATGCCCGTGCAAACAATCGAATAAATGAAATAGAATAAGTAGATTAGTGTTTCATATGTCCTTTTTCTGACCCTCGAGCCAAGTATCCTCCCATACGTCGTGCAGTATGCATTATGACAGCCATTCGAAGGTGCCTAACGTCTAGTTAATGTTTTCAAAATGCTAAGCAGGAATTTTTATGAGAGTTTTTCATTTTCACACTGACCAGAATATGGTTGACACTGGAGAAGTAAACGTTTTGCTGGGGTATCCGACGATTAAAAATATGAAAACGTAATAACGGGCTTACCTGTTATATGCACTGGGAAAATGTCTCCTCCACGAAATCATTATGTATTTTTGACAACGGTTGAAACTGCTGAGTCCCAATCCGTCAACGAAATTTCAGCAAGTGTTTTACGGTTTTGTGCCTAAAGACGTGGCGTCTGTAGATTTAAGTTATGAAACTACCACAAAAAATAGATCGTAAAGCTTTCTAGCCGAACAGGGTGCTCTTGAGGGTGCTTTTATCCATGAATGAGGGTGTGGGTCATACTTATAAGTCTGTCTAAACATAAACCACAGCAGCCAAAGAAGACGGACCTCCATGACAATGAAATGAAATGGATATACTAAATTTCAAATACCCAACCCTGCGCAATCAAATGTCTCTCTGGATAGGGCTCTCCCAGACCATTATCAGATGGATGCCAACATCATTTGTCTCTTTCCGATATACAGTCAATAAGAAAATTAAATCAATTTCGTTCATACCCTTTCCTGGCTTATGTGGATAATATTTCAGTCGCAAACGGCACTCTCTTTTTTATGTCCAGTTTAAAAACACTTATGTCATTTTTACTTAATTTTTACTTAATTCTTCGAATATAAGCGCAACATAAAATATTACTATAGCTCCAAAACGACTAACCTTAGTCCCGTTCAATTTTTAAATTGTACGTTGGCTAAACTAAACGTTCGAATATCCTCCTACAATACATAACCTGCTAAGCTGACCAATTGGTAATGGAACATTTTGCGGTTACTTCAATAACGGTTACATATGATAAGTACGCACTTGATATATCGAGAGACCAGACGTCAGCGGCGTTGCTTTGTTTTGGTCTGCAAATCGCCCTGATCCATGAGCCAGTATCTTGAAGAAAAAGAAGAAGTAGAAGAAGAAAAAGAAAGGACTCTTGTTATTTCTAAAATAGCCTGTTTGTTTACTTCTTGCTGTACCTGCTTTACATGGACAGAAACTTATTTTCAAACCGATAAAATTAATTCTGGTAAATCTGTCTCACTCGGACTAATGTCCCCTACCAGTGAGGTATGAGCAAATACGCAGATGAGGTCTGTGGCAGATATTCGTACAAAAAATTACCGGGATATAAGGGGGGGGGTGGGTTGCGTCAAGAAAGTGCACCATTTTGTTTAGCCAGATAACTCGTAAGTAGAAGGCATAGCGCTCGAGATAGCGCTACCTAGTCATCCGAATTTTGGTCATCATGCCCTGTCAGTTTTGCCATCCACTGTGTCTGAATGGATATAATAGTGTCATGTGTGTGCACTCGACTCTAAGTCTTGCCCTTAATAATTTGTAAACTAACTGGCCTACCACTCTTGGGTATGAAGTCTTTATATAAGGACTGATCTACATATTGCTGGAGTATCCAGTTGAAGAGCCGAAGCCTCCACAGTTGTCCGAGCAACAGTGGAATAGTCGACAGAACATCAGTCTGGACTTTAAGTCATTACGTGTGTTTGGGTACTACGAAATCGCACTTACGTATAAGTGACGTATCTGATGAAATATCAACCAAAACTATGAAACATGCTTTTGATTAGGAAGGATTACCCAAGTGGAACTACAATATTGATTATCGTGAAGCATAATTCCTAAATATGTAAGTCGCACCACATTGCCGGTTATAGAATATGCTTCTTTCGGACCGCCTACAAAGAATGGCAATCGTCACACTTTGATTGCCTAGGTAGTGTAAACTGCTTCTATCGAATCGGCGCCCTTTTAAAATCAAATTGGTTTCACAGAAAACACACAAAAAATACCCTTCTTGAACAAATTGGGGGGGGGGCAAATTGCACCTTCATAGTTTATACTCGGAGAAAGGTCACAGTATGTGACTTACTAAGTATCTCTTATCAATCGCAAACCGCCCCAGGTGTATCGAACAAAACCCTTAACTAATAATGCACGCCTTTGACTGCAATGAAAGCATAAATGAAGTATTAAAATTAAGATTACATTGTCTAAAGGTAACCATTTTTAGAGAAGCGGAAGAGTTGACAACACCAAGAACTGTGGCAAATAAGTGAACATAAGTTTTAAAAACAATTTCTGGAAGTCTATACAAACAAAAACAGAATACATGCAACAATACAAGCACAATAAAGTTCAAAATTGTCAGTCGTGCATATATTTAAAGCCATCAACCCTTAATAGTCAGCCTTTTATGATGAGTCCCATACAAGTAACTGAGTAATGTTTGATTCAGGGTCGCAAAACTGTTATACGAGGATGCGATGCAATTTTGTTGATTTGGTACTGTTCGAGATGCGATTGATTAAAGCAGAAAGAATATAACCTGAGATAGGACAAACGTTTATATAAAGGTATATATTGAGATACCGGTCAGTGGTAAATCAGTTCGAATAGCATTAGCAGGGGCAATCGTAAGCATATTATTCTCTGTGTAGCAAGAAATATTTTATTCGGCAAATGTATTTTGCAGTTATTGGTGACGGCGTCCTTGATATACTAGCAAATATGTTTTAGATTCAGTATTTTCAATCGATTGCAACCCCGAATGACCAGTTCTTTCTAATCGAAAACACAATGCCGAATTTCGGTTAGTATTTCATCAAATACTTCACCTACTGCACTGTATGCATCAAATGTACTACGACCACGCTAGCCTACAAACGGGTGAACTCTTGATTAGATGACACTTACATATCCGCAGATGTTGCGAATTTGCCATTAAAGAGCGCAGCACACTAGTTTGTGGTAAAGGGACGCTTACTGATCGTTTCCACGGAACTCCTTCGTCCCGTTTTGCCTTACGGACTCTCTCTCTCGAGCCCAACTAGAAGCCGCACGGTGGCGCATGATATAGGCGGAATGGTATTACCGACAAAGACAAGGGAAACTGAAGTGGTCATTTCTAGCCTATTAGTCGTCGTTAGCCGGTCATTCCCAACCCCCAAGTGTGGAACACCTAGAGTTGGAACTCGCGACCTGTTTGTTAGAAGTCCGACGCCTCTAAGCATTGAGCCACGGACTTCTTGTCCTGTCGGTGTGTTATAGCAGAGGGCGTTCGCCGACCGGTTATTGGACATGCTCATCCGTTGAGATTTTGAGCTCTATCTAGAGCTCCGCGGTCAGTCGCACAGCGGTTAGTTGTATGCGCAGTAGGAGATAACCGACAATGACAAGAGAGACTAGAGTTGCCCCTTCTGGCTTATTAGCCGTCATCAGCCAATCATGTCCAATCCCAGGTTTTCAGCATTTGAACCTCGATCCCACGTTCTTTGGTCATCGAGCGTTTTTAAGCCCAACGTTCTTGGCCCTTGAACCAACGGTCCGTTGTCCTGCCAATTGCGATCGGGAACACCAACGATGTTCGAAGTGCGTTCACCCGTCGAGCTACGGGACAAGCGGGTTTGTAAATCGCGTCTTAAGGCACATCGATGCGAGCAAATTCCGCAACCCGATCGGTGAACGTATTTCCAACATAGTATTCTCGATCGCAACCGATAGCACGACGGGGCCGTGGCTTAATGGTCAAGAACGCTGGACTTAATAACGTTCAATAACCAAAGTACGCGGAGTAATGGTGTTGATGATGATGACGGTGGTGGTGGTGGCGATGGTGGTGATGATGATGATGATGATGATGATGATGATGATGATGATGATGATGATGATGATGATGATGATGATGATGATGATGATGATGATGATGATGATGATGATGATGATGATGATGATGATGATGATGATGATGATGATGATGATGATGATGATGATGACGATGATGAACAATAGGCCCGAAATGGCCATCTAATTCTCCTTGTATTTGTCGGTAAACGCATTTTGCGTATACTCCTTTACCTGTAACACAGCAAAAATATGTAACTTGTTGTTCTTATATAACTGGACACTCCGTTGCTTTCAATAATATGCACCATGATGGCCTACGACAAATTGGTGTTAAATCGCCACCCTGCCACTCAAGTCGTCTTGTAGTCAAAACAGTACTAACGCGGCCAGCGGATCATTATACGTTCATTTATTGGCCAATTCCACTGTCATGGACCGTATTTCTTAAACTTTGCGAGGCCCATCAAAGAGACGTATAGATTACTTACCAACTTGGTTAGCCGCAAATGAATCCAGCCCTTGTCGACACTCTTCTCGTAAATCCACTTACACTGTCACCCAGGCTTTTTCGCCGACCGGCGGAACTCATCGCACTTCTGCCAATTTTTGACTGTCAAAAATACGTTAGTCTAAAGGACTGTTCGGTAGGAAAGGCAGGGTAAAGTTCTAGCGCCTCCTATGAGTCTGGAATAAAAGACAAGCGATTGATTCTCAAAAGTGGCAGACCTGCTTTTTTAGCACGTCATGTAAGACTAAAAGGCAAATTGGCAAGACAGGAATCGTCTGGAGTCGTTTGTCAGATCTGGCGCGGCTTTGGACAAATCGATTTTGTCCGAGAGATTAGGGGATTACTCCAAACGCGAAGGCCGAACACGCAGCAGCAGCAGCAGCAGTGAGCAGGAGGAATGACGCTAACGCTCAGGTCGTAGCCCAATTAACGGGACTCAACTACACCTCCAAGTTGGATGAGTCTGAAATTATCGAAAGAGGTGACAACCGTATGAGCCGCGAACTGTTTGAGTTCCGTGAAAACGAACAGTGAGCGACCCTCCACCATTGTTTGAGCCATGGTTCTCCGACCTCCCCAGTCGATCAACAAACGCGATGACCTGCCAAATCCACTTTTTGTACTGGGACTTTGCTCGGGAAGAGTAATTGGCCATGCAGTGAGAGTGTTGGCGGCTGGACAGTTCTAGCGACAATGAACCAAATGACCGAGTCATTATCACGCCAAGAATCCACTACGGGAATGAAATTACGGCAATTAACGACACGAGTGCGGATTAACAAGTCATCATCTCATCAACTACGACCATGTGAGAGCTGCCAATTATGTGGCTGTGTGGCAACTACGGTCTGTAAATACCGTACTCTTTGTGTCTCCACACTCCTATCTGCCACTTTGTAACACCAGTCTATGAAGTCAGTCGGATCATTGCTGCCCAAGCTAAAAAGAAGCTCGCAGGCTTCGGGCACCCTGACCCACAATGTCAACCTCCAGCCCCTTTCAACATTCCCGCGCTGTCCACAGACATTCCGCGCGTGGATTAGCCTCATTTTAAATCTCCGAACCCACTGCACTAACAGCCCAGCAAACCCAACTCCTGCTTTCTCAGCCGTCCCCGCATCAACCCCGATGGCGTCCACGATGGCAGCCACCTTCACCACCGGCGATCACAATCCCGGTGATCCGTCACGTCGAGCACCGTTATCTCCATCATCTTTGCTATAGCCTCCACAGCCGCGACCACCACCCCTCCCACTCCAGTCGCCGGTGAGAACACTCCCGATGCGCCGTTATCCATCATCCTCACCAGCACTGCTCCCACATCTAGCAATATGGACTCGGTCCTAACATATCCTCATGGCGATCGCACATTCACTTCACTCACTGACCTGGTCGACCACCTGCAAATCTATCGCACAGAGACTGGGAAACTAAGGACTGAAGCACCAGCGTACACCAGACGCCATCGTCTCAACCGCCTGCGCTGACCTCACATATTCAGCTACCGCATGGTGTTATTGTCTCGCGAGTAATTCCATGAAAACCTATGATAAATCACCCGGAGACATGCCAACATCACCACGCGTTCATCTATCAACACACGCACCTCACATGAACACCTCCAACACTCCGCACCGGTCCCTCCTATGTAAGTGGGAAGTGTGCTCCTCAACTTCCTTCTCCATGTGGTTCCTCTGCTGCATGTGAGATTCGAACGGTCTACTACCTTGTTCATGAAATCCCAGTGTGTGTTAAGGGGAACAAGATCGTGTGTGTGGCACGCGCAGACGGCCTGTTCTCATTTCTGTCAGCCATCTCTCCCAATTTTAGCATCAGCTGGTTGACCGTTCCAGACAGTCGCCCGATGCATGTGATAGGGTAGAGCTAGTAATGTCGACTCTCAGCGCATAACCCCTCACTATAAGCAATCTGACACGCTTGAGTCTATCACGATGCTCTAAAGGCCATTGCTTGGAAGGTTACTAAATGGCGCTTCAGTTTAGACCACTCAGTCAGCCTAGTGGTGTACTTGTGTTTCGAATGGCCTACTGGTGAACTGAGGGCTAGTCTACATTAGCTCCTCCTGGATGGCACACACTTACACATGTGAGGTACGAACCACTTCTCCCTTGTGCGTGTAATCCTGGTGTGTGTTTGGGGGCGGGGGGGGGGCAGGTCACGCATGTGGCGGGCGCAGATGGATTTTCTGACTCTGTCAGCCGCCGCGCCCACGGCTCGCATCAGACAAATGACCGGTTCGAACGTTGGACTGGGGCCTTGGAGTGGGAAAAAAGAGAAATCGATGGCCTCAGCCCAAATTCTTCCTTCTAAACAATCTGACGCGCTTCAATCCATCATGGGAGTGCTAAAGGTCCTGACTTGGAGGATGGCCAACTGACGGAATGAGTCGGACCTGGTAGACAGTTCAGTGAGTGGTAGGGGGCGCCCAGCGATCGTTCTTACGGAACTCACTCGTTCTGTTGTGCCTTACGGGCTCTCTCTCAAGCCCAACCAGCAGCCGCACAGCGGCGCATGATATAGGCAGCATGCTATTACCGACAAAGACAAGGGAGACTGGAATGGCCATTTCTGGCTTATTAGCCGTTGTCAGCCAGTGATACCAAACCCCGAAGTGTGGAACACCCGAGGATCGAACTCGCGACCTGTTTGTTAGAAGTCGACGCCTCTAACCACTGAGCCACGAGCCCTTTGCCCTGTTGGTTTCCGATCGGGAATATACAATGGTAGGGGGCGCTCACCGATCATTCTGTCTATATTATGCGCCGCTGTGCGGCTGCTGGTTGGGCTCTAGTGAGAGTCCATAAGGCACAAAAGAGCGAGTGAGTTCCGTAAGAAGGGTCGGTGAGCGCCCCCTACCATTGTATATTCCCGATCGGAAACCGACAGGGCAAGGGGCTCGTGGCTCAGTGGTTAGAGGCGTGGACTTCTAACAAACAGGTCGCGAGTTCGAGCCTCGGGTGTGCCACACTTCGGGATTGGGTATGACTGGCTGACGACGGCTAATAAGCCAGAAATGGCCATTCCAGTCTCCCTTGTCTTTTTCGGTAATATCATTCTACCTATAGTTCAGTGAGTGTTTGTGTGGAGTGATCTAATGGTGGACTGAGAGACAGGCTTCAATGGCTCCTCTGAATGTGCCCTCTGTGGCACTCCCACTCAGTGGAATCCGAGCCGGTGTGATGACACACGCTAAGGTGCGGGTTTTTGGTGTGCCAGCCACCTGTGCCCTCTCTCCCTCCAGTCCTCTTGACTCTGTTTTGACGCCGGGCCCAGGTAGGAGAGGATGACAGAGCGAGGTAGATACCGCGAAAGTCTATTGTCATTGTAAATTACTTCACACGCAAGTACCAGTTTTCTGCGCCCACTCTGTTTTGGGACAGACGGCCTAACTGACGGCCTAACTGTCACTGGCGGCCGACAACGTTTCGATAGTTAGTTTATAATGCATACGCCTGGTAAGGTCTATTTCAAAGCCTCGTTGCCTTAGTCAGTCCAAGAGGTTTATGCTAACAAGCTCACATGTGACTCAGTCGACAGGCTTCGGTTCTGCTTAAAGGTGAATCAGTCATCACTTGTGGGTTGCGGATTTTATCGCCTTTTTTCCAAGTAGTGGGTCATCTAGTCGCATCCGGCATTGCACATAAAAACTTCATCAAGTTTTTTTCCAAAAGCCACCCAGAATGAATACGTCTAAGGACTTATATCTAGTCATCTTTCCCTCACAGTTGGGGTTAGGTGTTTTAATTGCTAAGAGACTCCCTCCATGGAAACAGCTTTTTGACTTGAATCACTTCGAATTGCTTCGGCTCGCACTTTGTCTTACTGAGTAAGGGAACTTTTTAAGGCAATCATTGCATTCCTCTAGCGTACTACTGACGCCTCTTCAGACAGCGTTCGGTTCACTCACTTTGGTACTAATCCCTCGCATTGGTCATGGCCACGAAACACGGCATTTATGAAAAGCGTCAGTCAGTACTGCCGGAGGTACTTCAAAGGGAGCCGATGCACTGAACTGGACGGGCGGAATTTGTTTAGTACTTTAGCAAACACGCCAAATGTCAGATGTGCAGTAAATCCGCAAACGTCATCGTGGCAAGGATAGAGAGAGAGAGAGAGTCCGTCGCTAAACATAACCTTTGGCGTCTTTAGGACAGGGTTCGCGGAATCGAAAACAAAAATATTAGTCTTCATTAAAACCCCGTCTCTCTCTCTCAAGTCTGGAAAATTGCTGACGTATTTCGGCCTTCCATTACCTCAACTCTGTCACCCTCGCCGTGCGTCATCGATCAATTACCCCGAGTGTCTGCAGGTTGTTTTTTCCGCAGATGTTTTTGTTGCGTCTGTCTATGTGGGTTGTCTGTCTCAACTTGACGAATTTACGTCACTTTTGCCTTGGCTGTACGCACAGGGTGTCTGTAAATCGAACATGCTATTTTTCTGAGGGTGCCTGAATGGGTGAAGTGCACCAGTTTTCAAGGCATTCGGTAGTGCTCGTGGATTTGGAAACCCAATCCGAATCTCCACCACTTAGGGCCTCTCAACAACAACAACCTCTACTTTTCTTTGAAACAAATTCATATGGCTACGAATTTCGCTGTAGAATATCTTTTGAACTCGAGGAATATTACTATACATA